ACATACCTTGGTTACAAGATTGACTTTCAAAAACATGCCATCTGGATTTAGAAAAAAAAGAACTAACTACACAATCCAAGTTAAACCAAATAAAGAAAAAGAACAAAGGAAAGTGAAGCAAGAACAAATCAAATGAAATTTAATCCTGGTTTTGTGCTTTTTTTTTGTTGTTTATTAGAGAAATACCAAAAAAAAAAGAAACTCAACTCCTCAAAAGCTCTAATGCTTTCAATAGAGTTCCTCTAAATCTATTTACATCAATTTTTACATCTTGTTGATCTAAATAAACTTTCCTATATGAAGCCCATCCTTTAGGAGAAATCATATTACCAGGAGGATCCTTTAACACATGATGTTCAAGTGGATATTGTTGAATTAAAGAACTCTCATTTACACTAATCTTGTAACCCAAATACTTCAAATTCATATCCATTGCTGGAATTTCAAAATCTTCTTTAGATACCCATTCCATTCCCAATCCCACTATCTGTATAACACTTGCATTTTCTGGCAAAAAAACCATATTTGTCAATCCAGCACCATGTACTCCCATTAGTACATCAAATGAGTTCACTTTTTTCGCAACTTGAGCCAAATTCTCCCTTGTTTCCTCCACACCTACTTTGAACCCCAAACTTTTAGCTAATGCAACAATTTCTTCTATGTTTGTAAAACGTCTCGTTCTGCTTCTTGAAATTATAAGTAGTCTAGGCTTATTTTTCCTCCTTTCATCATCATCATCTGCATTCTTTTTCAATCTCACCGCGGATTTTCTCTTCAAGGAGTATGTACTTTTCAAGAACCTTGTGAAGTCTAACATATTGTAAGAAGATTCTGAAGTGTTGATGCTGAATTCTTTGTTGGCTTTTAAGCCTATTGTCATACTTGGGAAACAAAGAACATCTTTTTCCTTGTCAATATCAATAGCCTCATATTTTGACAATCTTTGTAACACTGCCTTAAATTTCTTGATCCACCAAGGCATACTGTTAGTAATCAGAAACTGAACTTCACCATTCAAACGCCGCGATGTTTGAAATAATGGAATCAAAACATCACTGAAATCATGGAAGTGATTCCCAGCATACCCTTTAGTTGAAAAAACAACTGCAGGGACAGTGTAGTTTCTAGTGCAAATTGGGATTTGTTGAGAAATATGAACTTTTTTAACTATTAAATTTGTAACACTGTCCATTGCTCTATCATCACCTTTTCTTGCATATGGTCTTATGTTCCATGAGTTGTTGTTTTTTTCATCATCAATTGATACAAAAAATATTGTTGATGAATTTCCATGTATTCTTATGTCACCTTTCGTCTCACAGAGATCAGCTCTTGGATGTAACACATTACAAATTTGTTTCTCTTGTTCAATTTCGAAATCTAAAATAGAAAAAAATTACAAGTATGGTAAGTACCTTGACAAATTTAAGTTCATTTACAAAAAAAAAAAAACTATGCTAATTAATTAACATGAATACTTACATGGCTTTTTAGGCTTTGTGACTTCCTCTGTTATTGCTAGAATTTTCGGGCTACCACGAAGAGAAACCTTAACATTTACTGTCACACAAAAACATATCAACGACTTGAATCTAACTTATATATACTCACAACGTATATATTACATCCATAATAGAGCATTGAAAGCTTTAAACATGATATTTATATATACTGACAATATAAAAACAACTTACCAACTCGAAAATGACGAATTTCAGGCTTGAAGAGAAAACAAAATGTGGCTGCTAAAATGAAACAACTAACAAATGCTCCAATTCCTAATTTCTTTTGCTCATGTTTACTAAAACTTCTGGCTAATAAACTATCATACTTCATTTTTGCTAAAAATAAATAATATAATGTAACTACAAAAAAAAGAAGATTTTTTTTTTTTGAAATTTCTCAACTCAACTTATTGATTATAGAAGTGAGAAAATGCTAGTATTTGCAATTCTGAAGATATATAGAGGTCTTATATTATCTAAGTGACTAGCATGAAACTCTTTTTTTCTCTTATATAATATAATTTTAGTGAATGCTCTCCACGTATTTTAGGACATTCTTTTATAATTAAAAAATTTATGTCTTTTTTTCGTTTGAAAGATATAACAAAGTTGACTATAAAATAAATGTGTGTGTTTTCAAAATTGAGTCCATGTCTAAAAAAAGGATTTAGGATGGCCGGCACCTTAATTACCAAACATACTCAATAAGTAAATATAATTAAGATTTTGTTGATTTTTTTCTTTATGATAAATACTAAGATTATGAGTTTAGGTGGGAACTAATTAGACGTGCATATAGAAAATACTTATATGGATAGAAATTACTTGTTCAATAAAATATAGATAGGTAAGAATTTATTAAGTTTGCTTAAATGAAATGGGATTTTAATGTGAGATACTAATTTAGGTTATTAGTTACATTACTGGAGTTAAATTTGTTTCCTTTTATTGATTATTAATTAAGTAATGCTTTAGTGTGCATTAGTGGATTTCATTTATCAATGGTTGCTTAAGTGTGAAAAGTTTTACGTTAATTATTGTTTTTCTTTTCCAAAAAATTTTCAATTTCCCTTTACTTGTTTTTTTTTCATAATTAATTTCCCTTTAATACTTTATATATGTAATGTAATACAACGACAATTGAGTGATTAGTGGAAATAAAAAAAATTCTCTCCAATTTCAAATAACCTTCCTGAAATAATAGTTATTTTCATTTTTATTTAATTCTTTTTTCGTCATCTATTTCTGGAATAGGGTGGATAGAAGTGGGGAGTTCATTGATATTAAGGTGTCGAGGGAAATTAAAGAAGGTTAGGGGTGGAAGCAAACCATGCTTTGATCATTCAATTGACTCTTTGTTATCCGTCTATACTAACTTGATGTCATAGTAGATAGTATGAGTTTCGATTTTATCAACTATTGGATGAGTACGGGTGGGGAGTTTCTTTGATATTAAAGTGTCGAGGAGATTGAAGAAGTTTAGGGGTGGAAGCAATCGTTTTTATTGACAGTCTGTACTAATTTGATGTCATGTGATAAAAATAGAAATTTCAATCAATTTTACCTATTATTAAATTTTAACTGACTTTCACCGTATAAAAAGAATACTTACTAAGAAAAAAATAAAAGAGAAAAACGGTTGCATTGTTACCATTATTCATATACATATGTTTTCTCAAGATATTGTGATTTTTCCATATAATAATAGTATTATTTTATCAAAATCTTATAAATTTTGATATCTTAATTAAATCCATTTTAAATGATTTCTCAAGAAGCGTGTTGTTAATCCAAATGTCGGTTGTTGCCCGGATTGAGTTTGTCTCAGTTTAGTACATTGGATATGGTAGTTACCTACCAAATTTTTTATGAGAAAAGGTTAAATGATCAGTTTAAAATTTTGTAAATTATAATACAAGGTGGTAACAATTTGATGTTTTGTTTGTAAGCTTGAGAAATATATGAGTGGTAGCAGATTCAACAATAAAATATTTCTTCGTCCCTATTTAGTTGTTCACTTTAGAAATGACACACATATTAAGAAAATAATTTATGACATGGTGAGTTTATCATTTTGTCTTTATTAATTATAAAGTGAACATTTTTCAAAGTAATTAGTCATTTAATTGAGGATATAATACGTAAAAAAAATTATCTTTTCTTGATTTGTCAAAATGAGTAAGTAATTAAAGACAACAATAAAAAGAAAATGAATAAATAATTAAGAACGGAGGGAATAACTTTTGCTTTAAAAAACATATTTATACTAAAAAATTTATCAAATATATACGCGTATTAAATTTAAAGTCATCCTTCTAAGAGGTGTATTTGCTTAGTTTCTATTGATATTGAATTGACTTTTGCTATCTTACAAAAAGAAAATGAATAAATAATTAAGAACGGAGGGAATAACTTTTGCTTTAAAAAACATATTTATACTAAAAAATTTATCAAATATATACGCGTATTAAATTTAAAGTCATCCTTCTAAGAGGTGTATTTGCTTAGTTTCTATTGATATTGAATTGACTTTTGCTATCTTACAAAAAGAAAATGAAATAAAATAGTAATAACTTTAGTTATATATACATTCTTTTAACACTCCCAAAGGGAAAGGAAAAATGAAAAATTTATGTTGAATGGTCCAAGAAAATTGTTTGGTTTAAGAGTGGGACATTTTACCAAATATGGTGGGAGGCACGTTTGGGAGGAAATTTTGAATCCTCTAGTCTATAGACAAGTGTGCTGAGGAAAATAAAATTCAAACTTTAATTTATTTGAAGCAAAATAAATATCCAAACAACATCAGTTTTACCAGAATATTCTTTTGTTTTTTTGCCTCATGAACTTTTATAAAATCTTTAATATGAAAACAATCGTGCAAATTGATCAGAGCGCAAGTCAATGTATAAGCATCAGAAAATTTAAATATCAAATCATTTAATCATTTGTTCTTTTATTCTACGTATATATATTTTTATTTGGCATCATATTTATAACGATTCAAATTATATGCCATATAATATAATTTTTTTTGAATTATGCAAAATTGGAACACTTTGCCTTTATTTTTGAGATGTGACCTCATGATATCACATGCCGCACAATTAAGAGATATTTGACCCCAACTATTAACGGAGAGCAAATCTTTCAATTTAGTATAGTTCGAAAGAAAATTTGAGCTCTTTGCCTTTATATAAATAACATATATAGTTCAAGATTCCACGACACAAAAATAATTCCTTTCGAACTCCATATTATTTAGAGTGAGGTTCTTGAGTACTTAAAAGACCTGCGAGCTAAAATACTAACACCTAAAACGATTTCGAAACAATGGCAAGAGGTATATTCAACCTTCTTTCCATTGTTATCTTGCGTCTATATACATGTTTAGACATGTTGAAATTGTATAAAATATCTAAGAAATATCACAAATTAAAATGCACTGACAATATATGAATATATGTCAATATATATAACTTAAATCCCTTTTATTATAACATTGCACAATTGTTCATCAATGAAAATTGAATCACTCAAGTAGTACATAAAAATGCACATTACACAATGAACTACAAATGAAACATACACACTATAGTGCACAAAATCAAGAAGTGGCTAAAAGCCTTTTAGCTTCTAATAAAGTAGACCTAAACCTATTAAAATCAACTTTTACATTTTGTTTATCTAAATAAATTGATCTAAACACACCCCATCCTTTCCTAAAATATGATGATGGATCTTTAAAAACTTTATGATTAAGTGGATATTGTTCCACTAAAGAACTCTCATTCACACCAATTTTATAATCTAAGTATTTTATGTTCATTTCTCTAGCAGGATCTCCAAAATCACGTTTAGCCAAATAATCCATTGCTCCTAAAGGAACTAACTGAATTAAAACTGCACTATTAGGGAGAAAAATCATGTTGGTTAATCCAGCTCCATGTACTCCCATTATCACATCACAAGAATTAACAATTTGCGCGAATTTCGTCAAATTTGTACTAAGGTTAGCCTCAGCTAGGACAACCTCGTAACCTAAATTTTCAGCCATTTGTCTAACATCATCCTCATTTAATAAAATTCGCGATTTCTTCCTTGACATGATCAATAATCGTGGCCTCGTAACAATATCATCCTTCATTTTGATAGACTCAACTCTGTTTAGTGACAATGAACTCCTCAAGAACTGTCTAAAATCGCGCATAGACACCCTATTTGGGAACTTTGAGGAGTCAATACCGAATTCTGTATGTGATTTAAGGCCTGTTGTCACACTAGGAAAACAATGTACCTTCTTTTCATTGTCAATGTCAAGAATTTTGTTCTTAGACATGTTGTTAAGCAACGTTCTGTACTTGCCTATCCACCACGACTTATAATCTGTGGCAAGAAAGTGCACCTCTGAATTAAAATAACGCGAATTTGAAAAGATTGGAACAAGTAAATCTGAGAAATCATGAAAGTGATTTCCAGAATATCCTCCAAGTGAAAATAGAAGTGCTGGATAGCCATGATACACACTACATTTTGGGATTTTTTCGCCGTCTTGTACTAATTTCACTGTCCATGATTTTACTCTTGACATTGCCCCTGCATTACCTTTTCTTGGATATGGTTGTATGATCCATGAATTGATGTTGAAATCATGAGATGAAACGACGAAAATTGTCGATGAATTTCCTTGAACCCTTATGTCCCCTTTGGTCTCACAGTAATCAGACAATGGCTCTAACACATTACACATTGGCTCTGCATCCTTTTTCTCTGTTTCTGCATAATAATTTCATCTTAGAGTCAACATTTTGAACTGATCTTTTTGCTAGTTTTTGAAGATGGGAATCAATTTTTCCCTTTTTTTAAGTTTCAACGAAATGTATTATCAGATGTCTACTAAGAAATTTCGAACGTTGAGTACTTACCTAATTTCTTGAGAAGTGTTGTATCCTTGATCACAAACATATCTTCAGCACTAGCCTTGATTGATAATTGTAAATTCATGGCATCGCCATCTACAAAATTAGCTTAATAAAGATTAATTAATATAAATGTTATAGTAAAACATTATTAAGTGCAAAAGACTTACTAAATGATTGAGGATACAAATGATTCTTGAAAATAATGCAAGTGCTAAACACAACAACTAACATAACAACAAAAGCACACCATCCAAATGTTTTTCTTTCATAGTGACTAAAACTCTTTGCTAATATGGGATTATACATTTTTTTTTTTTTGTGACAAAAAGCTAAAAAAATGTGTACAATTAATTTGTCAACAAGAAAGTGAAGGGAAGTGGCTATTATTTAAACACCACTTCTCATGTTCACTTATACTTGAAGTAGCTTGCTTAGTGAGTGAACAATGATTATATAGTTTGCATGAATTTGAAAAAAAAAAGCAAATGTGGTTACAGGTAAGACAATCATTTGGTTAATTTTTTTAATAATATTTAGGTGATGTTTGTGTTCAATTTCTTGTGATGATTTTCAGCATTGAAAGGAACTTTTCAACTAAAGTTGTTATAAAATCACTTGGAAAATTTAAAAGGTCAACAGCAACAACAATTAGAGTAAGTAAATTAACTAAAAACATGCACTTTCTAGTAATATTTCACCTATCTTCTCCAATAGGATGACAACCTTTTAGCTTTCGAAAAATTGAAAAATGTTTCTAGTCAAGTGAAATATTATAAGAGTGTTGTTTAAGTTATGGTGAGGATGATTTTGTTCAGAAACTCTTTAACACCAGTGGCGTAGCCACCCTTCTGTCAATTGGACACCCTTCGTCGAAATATTATATCATATATACAAGTTAATAGTAAATAAAGTAATTAAATAACATATCTTCGACATCCTTGACAAAATAATATGATGTAGCCCAGTAATTTTAGGTGTCCTGAATTAAAGTGTTCATGTGTTTGAATTTCACTAGTAGTAAAAAAAAATTCACATTTTCACTTTAACACTTGGACATACTTCGTAAAAATCCTAGTTCCGCCCCTGCTTAACACATCAATATATTTATCTTACCATACCTATAAGGTAATACCCTTTCAATAATCAATTATAGGATGAAAAAGGAAAAGGAAATAAACAATTTTTTAAAAAAAAGAACGTAATGTACAATCAAAATCATGATTACCGTCAAAAAAATTAATGTGTATATTACATAGGTGTTACCTGCCTGTTATATTTTAATCATCCTTTAAACTAATAAGGTGGTAACAGAATCTGCTGTCTATTTTTCTTGATCTGAGTTAGAATTTTGAAGCAACCAACTTAAATAATCATTCAACTATTGAAAACTATGTAGTAAAATTATATATTTTGTTATTGCAAATTTTTTTTATTTTTTTAATAGTCAATAGTTAATACACACATTCAGACATTTCTGATTGATTTTGTGAATTTTCTGGTACCAACTCCTGATTTATATCAACTCACGTGGACTTAAAGTTTGGGCCCAACGATGAATGGATATGGGCCTAAACATACATGTCGAAACAGGCCTGCCAATTTATCTGCATTTACCTTTTAAAACTTTCCTCGTTACATTGAAACGATACGATACAATAAAATTTAAATAACTAAATTTTAGAAATAACAAACATAAAAATTAGATTAGCTCTCTCTATAACTATAAACTAATTTTTTGCTATTTGCACTCCATAATCAAATTATATCGATTAGATAATTTTATGTATGTAACTATACTATATATATATATATATATATTAATGACTATGTTTAAATATCTGCGTAAAATTTGAATTCATATACAATTAATGAAATATGGCATAACAAGTTATGTGTAATTTTTGAAAAATAATCAATAATAATTGTGATAATCTCAATTCTCACCTAAGCATTTAGGCAAGTGATCATCAGAGTTAACTTTGGACATATATAAAAAAAAATACTTTGGACATATTAATGAAATAGTATCGTCATTCATTTCTTTGAGATTTTAAGGAGTTAGACTAAAGTTCTTTCACGCATAACATCTATTCATTTAAGCATTGAGATAAAATAAAAAATAAATAAATATACATGATAGCGATCCAATTGTGATTCGAGCAGCTAAATGCTCAGTCATTTTCTTATTCTCGGCTTGTTCTGTCTTTCGAAAATAATTTCTCTATCTTCACGCGATAGTGATAAACTCTGTTTACAATACTCAATCCAACTCAAATCCCACTTAGTGAGATTTCGCTAGATATGTTTATTTGTCGTCATCGTATTTGCATGTTCAACACTCTTTTTAGTTATAAAATGGGAAAAAATGGTAAGCACGACGCTCCTCCTTTAACCAAGAGAGTTATTCTAAATCTTATTTATTTAAATATTCCTCTCTAAGGATAATAATTTTAGTCTTGCAATTATTAGTAATAATTTATTTTTACTTTTGTGATATTTAACAAAATACATATAACCTTACCTTTAGATAAAAAATAAGTAAATATTGTATTTAAACAATGCATGCATTTGGTGCATTTTCGGATATTGTCCCTATCAAATGCTCGAATATTGTACTTTTTTAACATTCAAATGAGATATTTGTAGACAAAATTATTCAAAATATGGAATATGTAATTTTGCAAATAAAACAAATTACTTGTTATTATATGTTATGCTGATATGATATCTAATTCTGAGAAAAGAAAAAAGAAAAAATAGTGTTATTGTACAAATTGATTCTCCCTCACAGTTCTCATGCAAAGTAAGTGTTGTACAAAGCCATGATAAAGGGTTAATACTCTTCAAGACTCTATTTTTAGTTTCTTAGCAACTATGGAGTTCCCCAAATTTACTTCTTCCAGTATGCATCTCTCATCATTTTCTTGCTTGATTCATGTTTTAATGTATTTTGATGCTTTCAACACTAATATTATTTATGGTATAATATATTTGCAGTTCCTCCGGCACAAGTAATGTACAAGAATCAACTACAAGAGTACACCCAAAAAAATGTCAAACAACTTCCAATTTATCAAACAGTTAATGAAGGTTTTCCACATGCCCCAAAGTTCAGAGCAAAGGTTTTGGTTAATGGATCTGAATATGAATCCAAGTCGACATATCCCACGAAGAAAGAAGCAGAGCAGGCAGTAGCAAAAATAGCTTATGAATGCATTCACAGCGAAATGGATGCTAGAGATATTTCACTTATTTACAAGGAACCTATGTTGTGCAAATCCATTCTCTATGAATTTGCTGTCAAGAGGAATTTGGATAGGCCTATATATAACACTAGACATACAGAAGGGACAAGCTCAGTTTATATTTGTCACTTGGTGTTGGGAGGCAAAACTTACAAAGGTGAGTTAGCTGGGAGCAAGCAAATGGCAAAGCAAGTAGCTGCTCAATCCGCGATTGAGTCACTCTTGGGTATGTATGTTGATTCACTGGTTTTTCTCTATCTTCAATGCTTAAAGGTATGTTATGTGCAAAACAACTCTGTCTAACACCTTAAAAATCTTGAAGAAACTGATGCAGGAACGCTTTACCAGATCATCATGTCCAAAAATAAGTGTCATCCTTGTATGCAAACCAGAATGAATACTGGCTCTAGTGGTGAGAAAATTCTGACTATAATTGACTTCTTCCTTTTCATGAAAATTGTACATCTCATGTTGTTTTGAATAGGCAATTTACAAGATCAAAAAACAAGCAGTGAGGTAAAACACATACCCTGCTGTTTGCAATATATATACGGTTTGATCTAGCCTTATAGATCATGAAGCAAATGTTCAGGGGAGGAGTGCTCATTTTATAAAATATTTTTTATTTACAGACTTGCTTCAACACTGATGGCATAGTTGGTAGCTCTGGAAGTGGACCAAAGCGCAAAACCGAAACCAACAACTGTGGAAGGAACAAAATGAGAAGATTTGGCAATTGACAGTTGGACTTTTTATGTCCGTCTTAAGATCTAGGTAGACTATACTTGGTGACTGTTAAGACTCATGAGATATTTATTTCTGAATTGTATTTGAAAACCACTACCAGCAAAAATTATCAAGGGAACTCCTTAGTGCCTAGTAGTTATTGAAGGGCTGAATTTGATTATCTCTTGTTATATTGTAGAGTTGGTCTACCCTTCCTTTTGTTATATGGTGCGTAAGTGCAACAATTATGGGCGATTTATCTCCTTTTACCAAGATCAATGAGGAGATCACAGATTATACGCGCACAACAAGAAAGGGATTATCTACTTATCCCTCTTCTGTGCTTTGCTTCCTTGTGTGCAATAACTATGGTAAATCCTCAACACTTTCGGAGATGACCAGCACAATAGCTAAGTATACTAAAATCTAATTGGTATACTTTCACACTCTACTCTCTAGTACTACCAATAGTCTCCACAGGTACAAACACCTTCACTGCAGTGATGAAAACAGCTGTTATCCCGAACAAAAACTAAAACCTTAACAACTGTAGATGTGTATAACTCAGTGGCTGAGGCAACCCACAACACAAACAAACTTCTGGCATGAGTTATATCCCCAATTTGAGCATAAACTGTTATCATTGTTTTCCAAGAGCTGATGTTATAACTGTTATCAAGGGAGAGAGAAAGGTGAAAGAGAATTCGGCATGAGGAGGTTTGTATTTGTATAGTTATAAGCGTATAGGACGGAGAAATATGAATTGGTATTGCTATATACAATCTCTCTCGCTTTATACAAACGTGAGTGGAGTGAGCGAGAAAGGGATGAAAAAAAGGAGTGGCAATCGAGATTCCAAAGAGAGGGGAGAACGAGGAATGACAAAAAGTTTGTTGTGAATCAGAAAATACAAATCAAAACAAGATAGAATTTAAACTAATAATACGATACAATACAACACGACGGCTGACAACCATCCAAACAAGATATTAGATATGCCACATAGCAGGTAAAAATCTTTTCTTTTGTTATTTCAATTGTATATAAAAGGTGCACATTGATCAGCACACTATCTCCACCGGTAATGTTGTTTCTTCCACTCTCTTTTGAGCCCTCATTGCCTAAATAAACAACGAAAACTCATCAGCTATATATAGGAAAACTGAAAAGTCTCAAGTAGCATTCATCGTATTGTGGGAGTTGCTTACTTCTTCTTCCCAGTTTGCGCGTAGGGTGATAAACAGAAGACATAACACTTGTACTAGAAGTGCACAAATAATACCCAACTATAAACCCTGTTTGTAAGTGGAAATAGAAGGTAATATTACTCAAAATCTTCATGACATTGAAGTAATGAAGAAAAGTTATATGCACGGATGGATAGCGTAAACAGTAAGTTGTTACTGTTACCTTCCCTCCGATGTGAAGAACAAAAGCCATCAAGACAGCACGAGGAATTCCCACAAAATAATAGGATCCAAGGTTAACAATTGCCCCAATCTTCTGCCATCCAAATAAAGCACCTGAATGTGAAATGTAACGTGTATAAGTGCGAACCTGATAGAACACATTGAAGGCCATCAATAAAATTTGATCTTGCAAGAAGTGGCATCATGGTGACTATGTAACTAACAACTTCAGTTTCATTGCTTTAAGCATGTCCCCATACGTTACGTAGCAATAATATGATCAATCCCAACACAATCCCCTTGATAACAGTCACAGCTAAGACAACATGCAACGCCAAACGTGCAATTTGAGGATGACCTGCTCCTAGTTAATTTGCAATCCGTGTACTGCATTGAACAAATATATGATCATAAGAATTTGCATCTCCCATCTTCAACTGTGAAATTCATTTTTCATCACTTGGTTAGACACGAACCAAATTAACACATTTTTTGATGACTAACCTCACAGTACCACTCAGTCCAATAGAGATCATTCAAACTGTTGCAGATGTATTAAGACTAGCAAACAATGAAGCATACCAGTTAGACTTGAAAATGGAAAATTTTGCTTGATAAATAAGAGGTGCACAATTCGAACCAGATTGAGAGCACTGAGGTTTCCAACTGTGGATTCGGAAGGAGGCCAGGAAGCAGAACCATTAGCTCAAATGACCACATTTCTAAGCTGTTGATAATCATCAAAGTAGACAAGTTAAATCAACAAATAAACCGGTTCCACAAGTAAACATATACTGGTTTTTTTCGTGCTACTTGTAGAAAAATCAAGAAATGTAGACTGACCAGACCATGATGGCAGAGGGAATCGCGAGTCTAACGAAAGCAAACATATCCTTGAGAGCTTCTTTTGACAGTCCTGTCCAAGTCTTTGCACATGTAGGAGAAAACTTGATATAAAGAGCCAAAAACAAGAAGTTAAGCCAGTAAGAGATTGAATTTGCTAGAGCAGCTCCTTTGACACCAAGTCCAGTCTTGAAGACCAAAATCCAACAGACAACGACGTGGATTAAGGTTGTAACTCCAGCACAAACACCATAGGGATGACAATACTTTGTGTTTGTAATAATCTCACAACACATTGGAAAAAGCCGTAAGCGAAAAACACCAGGGATTAAATACAAAGCATAATGACCAGCTTCATCAGATATACTAGGATCTTGGCCTTAAAACTTGAGAATAGAGCCAGTGTTTGCCCAAATGACTGCAAGAGGTACGCATACAAGTGAAAGTATAATCATAGCTCTCTGCATGTGAATGCCAAGCATATGATACTGTTTTGCTCCATAAGACTGTCCACAAAATGTGTCTAGTGCACTTTGACATCCCCATCTATTTGGAAACAGAGAAGAAAACTTTTTCATCAGAATCAATACCATATATTAATTAAACGTCGTAAAATTTTGATGTCATGAAGGACTAATAAAGTTGTGTTTCAAATTCTACTCACCAAGAGGCTAATACCAGTAACAGAAGTGAAGGAATTCGCCATAGAAGCACCAGAAAGGGGAAATTCTCCAAGATGACCAACAAACATAATGGATATAAGCTGTAATGAGAACTGCAAAAGGTTAAGGGTCCTGCTAGCCGTATTTGCTTCTTCACTTCCTCAACAATCTCTTCCTTGCTAAAACCATTCTATTTTTCTATCACAAAGGGGATGAATTTCCATATTCTGCTTCCATTTTTGCTCTCTCTCTCTCTCTCAACCACACATCCAGTCATATTTATAGCCCAATGTCATGAAAGAAGAAAGAATGCCCGAAGACGCGTTAAAAAGATGAAAGGACTGACACACCATCATGGTCTGAACAGGTAGAGCATTCTCTTGTATGTTGCGTTTCATTTCACTTGTAAAGGATTGAATTGTTGACAATACTTGTTTTCCAAGATTACTCTTTCATTACATTATTGACTAAAGGTTACATGTACTCTTACAACACATACATAAGCACCCCTGATTCCGAAATTACCATTTTCAAGTTGTATCAGAAACAACAATATTCGAAATTACATTGTTATTCTTTATAAGCAATGCGTTGTATCGGGACAAGTTTGTTAGTTTGTTAGCATAGCTACATCTTGTGTCTGAGTAGATTAACGGAGATGTTATGCATTTGGTGTACATATATAAATTTTGAATTTCCTGAACAAGATGCAAAATGTTAGTTCAGCGGTCCTGGACATTCAAAATGCATCCCAACATTCAAGGTTCTGGAATCCAAAAGCTGCACTGATATTGTAATGTCAAATGGACAAATTTCATTAAATTTGAACGAGTTAAAACGAGTCAAATCAATAAATAAATTTGTCAAATTCTGAATCGAATCGTGTGAATATTATAACTTTGACATTCATAAAACTCACATGTATAACATATAATAAATCATTTATTGTGGAGAAAGTTGGTAATATTCCTCTCTAGATAGAGTAATTGTTTTAAGGAAAGCTACCTCTTACCTTAAAGTTAAATTTGGTGGGATTAAACAAGTTTGTTGGATTCAATGAAAAATAAGAATCAATTTGCATTTCATACAATCACTTCAGGCTCTATTTAGGGATCGTTTGATAGAGTATATAAGAATAATATTAAATAGAGTGTATTGACAATACTTGCATTAGTAATGCTTATTTTGGTTATACTTGCATTAATTATACATCGAATATTTCTTATGCATTATTTGGTTTGGTGTAACTTACATAAATATATTATAATTAAAAAAAATTACCATTTATAGCAATAACATTTTTTTTTCACTTGATCACTTTTAATTCATTTATAATACAAGTTTAATACATATTACATAGAACAATTTATTTAAGATATAGTACAAGTTCTAGTGATGGATAATGCATTTATCACACATTTTAATACACTTTTCATGCATTGTACAAAAATATTTATTTAAAAAATATCCTCCACAACTATGGTGAAAAAGATACAGAAGGGGTTTTGAGGGGTAATTGTGTCTTTAAAATACTAATGCATGCATTAAATCCCTTTGCATTAGTAATACCTAGAAATTCATGCTATTAGTAATACAGTCTCGAATACACAATAGAGTGTATAACTAATGCAAGCATTAATAATACCTAACATGAAAAAATTCACCAAACAAGATATTACTTATACATAAAATTAATGCATACATTAATTTTGCTAATACACTCTATTAAACAACCCCTAGTTTTTTCTTCTTTCTTTTTTTGAGAAAAATAAAAGAGAGAAGAAGAAAAAGGGCAAGTGCTTTGGCCTTTCAAATTTGAGGGGTCCTATTATTATTTTATTTTTAGCAATAATTGATTATAGATTTTTCTTTAAAATAAAAATGTAGAGTATGATTTGTGAAAAAGGGTAAGTTTCAATACAAAAGGAAAGAATTATTGAGGGTCACACAATTATTTTATTTTTAGCAATAATTGATTACTAATAAATTTGCATCCAATTAGAATAGAAAATAGACTTTATAATACATATCCCAAAACCTTTTTTTTTTCTTTGATTAAATTATGGTGCAAAATGTTGTGATTTTGAGAATTGTACATGGTCATTGCGTTTGTTGATGGAGGGAGATATATCACAGTCCTAACAATTTTTTGCTCATTGATCTTTAATTCCAACTTTAAATTTGTATTAGTACTTTATGTTAAGCATAAATAAAATTCTGACATCACTATATGTGAATTTCTTTCAATATTTTTCTAACAGGATACG